TGGCCTCTGCTCCCGTTGCGGATTACTTTGGTCGCCGCATTGCCATGATCATCGAATCATTTGTCTTCTGCTTCGGTGTGATCCTCCAGACCGCAGCCACCTCGATTCCGCTGTTCGTTGCTGGACGGTTCTTTGCTGGCTTTGGTGTTGGTCTACTCTCTGCAACTAGTAAGTCGCCAAGCCCCTATATTATCTACACAGGTGCTAACTGGAATACAGTCCCTCTTTATCAGTCTGAGACGGCTCCAAAGTGGATTCGTGGTACCATTGTCGGCGCCTATCAGCTGGCCATCACTATTGGTCTGCTGCTTGCTTCTGTCGTCAACAATGCCACCAAGGACCGCATGGATACTGGTAGCTACCGCATTCCGATTGCCGTCCAGTTCGCATGGGCCATCATCCTCGTTGTCGGAATGAGTGTGCTTCCCGAAACGCCACGCTTCCTGATCAAGAAGGATAAACACGAGGCCGCGGCCAAGGCGCTTGCCCGTCTTCGTCGCATGAATGTTGACGACCAGGCCGTCGTGGATGAATTGATGGAGATTCGCGCCTCGCACGAATACGAGATGAGCGTGGGCAAGGCAAGCTTCCGCGACATTCTGACTGGCTCCCTGGGTAAGCGGTTGGCCACTGGATGTGCTGTGCAGGCGCTGCAACAACTCGCTGGAGTCAATTTCATCTGTAAGTGTGCTTCTTCTGATTCGTCAAGGTTCTCAGACTAATCGCTTTCAGTTTACTACGGAACGACCTTTTTCCAGCGCTCGGGCATTCAGAACAGCTTCACCATCACACTCATCACCAACATTGTCAACGTGGTCTCCACGTTCCCGGGCCTGTACATGGTCGAGAAATGGGGTCGCCGGCCCTTGCTGCTGTTCGGTGCGGTTGGCATGTGCGTGTGCCAGCTGATCGTGGCTATTGTGGGCATGGTGGCTTCCTCGGACGTGGCCAATAAGGTCCTGATTGCCTTTGTCTGCATCTACATCTTCTTCTTTGCCAGCTCTTGGGGCCCCGTCGCGTGGGTTGTGACAGGTGAATTGTACCCACTCAAGGCTCGTGCCAAGTGTCTCTCCATCACGACGGCCACGAACTGGCTGCTGAACTGGGCCATCGCCTATGCCACCCCCTACATGGTGGATTCCGGTCCGGGCAACGCGAACCTGCAGTCCAAGGTGTTCTTCATCTGGGGTGGCTTCTGCTTCGTTGCGGGAGTTTTTGTGTACACCTGCATCTACGAGACCAAGGGCCTCAGTCTGGAGCAGGTGGACGAGCTTTACTCGAAGGTGTCAGCAGCCTGGCGCTCTCCGGGATTCATCCCTTCGGCACACTTCGCCGGTGCGGATACCGAGAAGGCCGGGCCCAGTGTGTACGAAGTGGAGGGTGAACTCCCCCAGAAGCGCGAGTCTTCTCAACATATTGAGACGGCTTAATATGGATTTTTATTTGGTTTAGGATATGACTTTATTCATTTCCTTGGATATGGCTGGATATGGTTTTCTTTTCTTTCTGTTAATATAGTTAGCCTATGATGTGATATATTTAGCGCACGATATGATATATATGACTATGATTGAATCACCGATTTCTTCTTATCTCTTCTTCTTGCATGTCATTTGCACGTCACTTGTGACCCTGGGGTGCCTGAGTGCCTGAGAGGATGACCCCCCTGTGACGCCTCAGGCAACGATCCCCCGTCGCTGATTGGGCGCCACCCCCCACCGGGTGACGTGCACGGGCCCACCACACGTGATGCTGGCCTGAAATCTGGGGCCAATCTTTCATCATTGGGGAAGGCTGCGATTCCAGATCGTCTCTGCTTCGCCTCGATCTTCATCCCCTATTTCTCCCTCCCGACTCCCTCTTTCTCCCCCCTTCCTCGTCAACTGAAAATGAGGCCCTTTTCCTTCCCTGATTTTGGATCAGCCACTGTACCCTGATCCCCCATGTTCATCTCTGAATCCGACCCCGACGAGGGGCTGTCCACCAGTGTTGCCCGGGGCGCTGAATCGCGCGTTTCTGACAAGGCCCCTTACTTCGATACCACCGTTGAAGTCGGTTCGATTGAGCAGCATCCAGCGCCCGACGCAGGGCTGAAAGCACCCTTACAGACAGGGTATGAGTTGCAGGATTTGGGCCCCGTTTGTGATGAGGATTCGGAAAATGCCTCAGCGGTCACTGAACGACTACTCGGAGAGGAAGGACCATTTCCATGGAAAAATCAACTCGGCAGCTCGATTGCAAATACCGTTACACACCCATTGTTCCCACCGCTACCGTCCTACGGACCGCCTTCCCTGATTACCTCGGTTCAGCATCTGATCATCCGCTGCGTATCCTTCGTTTTGTCCCTCGTCTTTCTCGGAACAGTCATCCTGGGCGCTATTATTCAGACCGCTAGTGCATCTGTCTTGCAGATTCGTCGGAAGATAGGTGGACCGTCTCTCCGCACTACGAGATTATTTCACGAAGAGGAGCGGTCACGGCAGGTAGAGCGAAATAAGGCTTCGCGGAGGTGGAGTTACCGACGAGAGAAGGAGGTGGATGAGGAGGCACTGGATGAATGTCCGCCCTTGGAAGGGGGTAAGGATCCGGTTGTATGCGATGTAGCATACTACGCTAGACGGGTAGGGCTAGATGTGGAGACATTCAAGGTGCAAACCGAGGATGGGTTCATCCTCACCTTGTGGCATGTCTACAACCCGCAGGAACACACCCCCTTGCCTCCTAAGGCCCGGCGCCCGCGAGGCCCACACTTCTTCACTGGCCAGACCAACCCTGAGGCCTCTCGCCGAACTCCGGCAAAATACCCAGTGCTTCTAATGCACGGGCTGCTGCAAAGCGCCGGGGCATTCTGTGCCAACGATGACGACAGCCTTGCGTTCTTTTTGTGCAAGTCAGGCTACGATGTCTGGCTCGGAAACAATCGGTGCGGCATGGTTCCGGAACACACGACGTTGTTTCAGTCGGATCCACGGATGTGGGCTTGGAACATCCAGCAGATGGGGGTGCTGGACCTGCCGGCACTGGTTTCCCGGGTGCTCTTCGAGACAGGCTTTGAGAAGCTTGGACTCGTGGGCCACTCGCAGGGCACCGCAGAGACATTTATCGCACTGGCCAAGGATCAGCGACCGGAGCTGGGGGAGCGGATTTCAGTCTTCTGCGCCCTCGCGCCGGCCGTGTACGCAGGCCCCTTGGTGGAACGGGTCTACTTTCGCTTCATGCGGATTATCCCCCCTCTCGTCTTCCGGGCCTTCTTTGGCATTCATGCGTTTATTCCTTTCATGATGACGGTACACCGCCGGCTACATCCGCGCATCTATGGCACGCTGGGATACTACGTGTTTTCCTTCCTGTTTGGGTGGAGCGATGCGCGCTGGGACCGCGGCCTCCGCGATCGCATGTTTCAGTTTGCACCCGTGTACGTGAGCGCGGAGACGATGCGGTGGTGGCTGGGGGGCGAGTGCTTTGCTCACCAGAAGTGCATCCTCGCGACGAGCGAGGTCACGCAGGCCGAGGCGGCGGAGGATCAGCGGGTGGCGCGGGGCCATGGCGAGGTCCTCCGTAGCGACACCGCGTGGTATGGCCCCCAGATGCCTCCTGTTGGTCTGTGGATCGCAGGCTCGGATGGTCTCGTGGACGGGCGCCGGTTACTGCACCGTCTCGAAAATGGGCGAGAGCCGCACGTCCGGCTGGCGCACGCCAAGGTGATCGAGGAGTACGAGCACCTGGATGTACTATGGGCGATGGATGCTATCGACCAGGTGGGCCAGGAAGTGCGGCAAGTGCTTTGGGAGACGATGCCGCAAGAGGCACGGACGCGATGCCGGATGCCACGGGGCGTGTGGACTGCACGATGAAATGCGAAACATATTGATGACTCGATGACATACAACTGGGACTTAGGGTAAACTAGCATAGACGGATAATTCGGCTGGGCACATGTACATACATAGCATATAGAATAGACTTGTAGATTATCAGGGGGCCTTATTATTATTATCATCATTTATTACTTATACGATCTCTGTCTCAAATTCTCAATGGCTCCAACCCGACGCAGATGATACCATCACCTGTCTGCTGACTTGTCGCTTATATCCAGTACACAGACACATTCCATCCCCCAGTAGGGATAATTGGATGAAATCATTGTGTCAATCCATCCCAATCATCGTTAGTATCTCCGACTAACATCGACCTCACCAATCAACCGACACCATCTTACTATCAAGGTAGACCTTGCGAAACTCTTGCATCGTCCCGAGCAGGGGCCCCCAGTCAACCCTCATCTCCAACGGCTGGACTAATTCTAGTACTAGTATCGAGTTAGTGGCTGCTTAGCCTTTTCCCCCACCATATTAATCAAGCCGCGTATTCTACTCCACCATCCATCCGAATATCCATCCACCTGGTCCTCATGCCCCCTCCCAGTCTTCCCACCCCCCCCCCCCAGCTAGTCCAAAAAATGACAGTTTGCTTAGCCCTCCCCACTGATTCATGTTATTGGCTCCGAGTATTCGAACTCGCAGTAGTTACTACTCATTAGTACTACTAAGCAGCCACTTACCGGCGGCTGGTGGCCCAAGGCCTGCGGGGTGCCACATGCATCTTTAGTTTAGTAGTTACATGTATACATACTAGTTAGCTAGGTGGGTAAGTAGTAGCTAGCATGTATCGACTATCGTCCTCAAGGTACCTTGTTCTTCTCCTCGCGTATACACGTTGCCAACAACGCAGGTACTGCTACCACAGCCCAGGAAAAACAGGTACGTACAACAAATGGATGGAAAAGTATACTCCCGCCAGGCACTTCATGGTGTCTGTCTGACACATTCACTCACATCCCTGACCTTGCAGGCATAGTGGATAGCCAGCTACGTCATTTTCCCCTCCCTCCTCTCTTCTGTGGGAGTTGAGCCCCAACATCCGAAGATCAAGCACAGATGTGGGCACTACTAGTTCCAGGAGCAGAAGAAATAAAATAACTCATAGTTAGGGAGGGTTGGTCGGGTTGGGTTGACTTTTGGGGTGTGTATGGCCGGTTCGGTCTCACTATAGCCTATAGCCTAGCTAGTGAATCAATCATGTGCCTTTGGGATTTACGTTACTACTTCTTGTTAAGGGGAGGTATAATGTCTATTGTAGGTATGGTGTTTCTGTTGTGAGAGCTGGTGGCGGTCGCTTATAGTAATAGTATACAGAGGGTTTTGTGATACGACTTTATCAACCCCCAATTCTCCTCGCTGGATACCGCTGCTCAGGCAGCCGGGTTATGCGACTGTGGGCTTGGTGCCTCTTGGGGGTTGCGAACGGGTCCGAGGAGTTGGGGAGGAGGTGGTTCTCAAGAATTGGGGTATTTTATGAGGGCTCATTGTTAGGGAAGTGTTCTAGACTCCAAGATTGAGTGGAAAACGGGACGGTAGCGTTGTGGAATGGGGGCATCGTTGAGGACGGCAGAGCGAGGGCGGAACGATTGTTACACGAAATCGGGGATTAACAGTGGGAGAAATGATCTGAAGAATTTTCTTGAATCAAGGCGAAAAACCTAGAATTGCTTTTTTTCTTTTCTTTTCTGGCAAGGCGTTGACGTTGAAGTAAGGGCGGGATGGAATGACTAGTACAGTTGTAGTAGTAGTGGTGGTGGTGGTGGTGGTTGGAAGTAGAACTGAACAATAAGAGGATGTCATGGTGATATGTAAACCTGAGGATTCCAATTAGGGCTATGAAGTTCAGTTGTTCCGTACTATATATAGAATTGGAAGAAGAGGTGAAGTTGGGCCGGAAAAACGGTTGAATTTGACTTCATGTTTGCTTTTTTGTGTTACTATTCTTTGCACAAAACTCTCGTATGAACATACTTTGCACTGACAGCATGTCTGCCGCGTCCGAGCGAATAACACCCTTCAACGCAAGGTGTGCTGCCTGGAGAGGAGGCATAGGCATGTACACCGACTCTTGTCGGCATCGCATCGATCGCGTATCAATCAGATAGTAGTAGTAGTAATATCCAGAAATCACTTAGCTACATTACTAGTCAACTACCACCACCACTACCACTAACATGACTCTCTCTCACACACACCCCCCTGGAATTCATGCAGCAACTGACTTGTTTAGTGCGGGGCACAGATGAGGGAAATATGAACTGAAACTAGATCTGAGATTAATTAATTGATTAATTCCTTCAAGTTGACGACCCGGGGGGTCCCCAAGCGAAAACACCACCACCACACCCTAAGATGAAAAAATCCCAGCAATCGGAAATCCCAGCATAGCCCAAAATCAAATCAACCAAGATGGTGCAGGCCGCTCACCCAAAACAAGGAATCCCAGACGCCATCGACGTGTCCTTCCATGCAGCACGGATGCACTTTGACAATCAAGCATTGGACCAAGAAATTCTCCGCACGCGGGGCACCGCCACTGCCATCCATTTCTCAGCATCATCTTCATTAAGGCTGTGCGTCGGTGAACTAAGCGATCAAGCAAAAAAACTTTGATTCTATGGAAACTTCCTCCATACGAGACCCGAGTATCGGTTCTGCCTATCCATCATGATTAAAAAAAGAACCGTATACCCACTTCTTCGGCAGTTGACTGCTGTCACCAAAGTCAATATCTACCCGGGGATTTAAGGAAAAAAGAAATCAAAATAAAACGCAAAACAAAAACAAAACAAAACCCAGCACTCGCAGAAATCTGCAACTGCAAGATGCAAAAAGGCAGCCAACCACAAACTAAACCCCCATCGAGTGTCCCATCCCTAGCAAGGTACCTTCCCCTACGGCGGAGCCACTCTCAACGCTAGTCTGGCCTTCATTTCCAGCCCGTCCGGCCCGTTCATCAATATTGGACTGAAACGAACAACTGCACCACCACTATCACCGGATATACCCTCGTCCAGGTTGCTGCTGCCTTCGCTCTTCTTCTTCGATTGCTTTTTTGCGCTGTTCCAATTAACCCAGCCCCGCATGCAATCGCCGTTTCCCGTGCCACCTTTTTGGGCGGTGCGTGCCAGCTGGCTTCTCCTTTGGCTTCTCACCAACCCTATGGGGCTATCCTCATGACCCGTGTAGCAGCCCCATTTCTCTTTGCTGACTCGTCTTCTCCAATTCCAGTGAGCCTGATACTGGATTGACTTTATCCAGATCCGCTCGGTGCATGAGGGGAAAAAGCTAAAGCTTGCCGTCATGGCTCGGCTATGCGTGAGGGGGCGTGGACAAAACACTACATCTGACTATCCACAATCCGCGGAGTGGAGCGTGGGCTGGTTCCCTCGGCGTGCTTGCTTGCTTGCTTTGACTGCTGTCTGATGTCTGCTGTCCGTCTGTCTGCGCGCGGATGGGCATCGATCGATCAGGGCGAAAAGCCCGCTTCCGTGGCCGGCCGTGTAGCCCGTGGCCTCTTTGGGTCTGTTGGCCGAGACCAAAAAAGTTATAAAGACCAGGTCCGGAGCCGGATTCTTGTTTCACAATCAGACCTCAATTCATCAAGCAAGGATACCTTCCAAAGCAAGCAACTCAGCCAGCCAACAAGCAAGACAAAAGCGAAGCCGCAATCATCATCCAGCAAAGACACCTTCCTATTCATTTTGAGTTCATTCCATTATGAAACCATCTACTCTTTACTCTTCTCTACCTTGGGTCATCACGTCCCTCCTCACGGTAGCTGTTCATGGCGCTCCTACAGGGACAAAGTCCAACCCTCCCCTACGAGGCTCCGAGAACTTGCTGGGTTACTCGGCCTCCAACACCGTAACGGACCAGTCCACCGACGAGATCCCTTATGTGCCGGTGCCAGGACAGACCGATGCCGCTGACCTCGGCGTATACCTGGACTTTGAAGATATCGAGAACCCGCAACCGGTCCGCGGAAGCACGGGAGGAACTGACCCTGGACCTCGTATGTAGTGTCGATCCATGGAACCAGACCAGGCGTTTGGTTGATCTGCGAAAATGATCTCATCTCACCGGACAAATAGGCAACGACTACTACGATCGGATTAATAGCGATAAGCTGGCTCCTCCGGGTACGGACAATGGCCAGACGATCAATGCCCAATGGCCTATGGGTGAGTTTATCTGCCTTGCCTTTTTCTTTTCTTTTCTTTTGCGTCGTTTAGCCCCTTTATTTGCTTTTTCGGTGGAAAAACTTTAATGAGACAGAACAATGGCTAACAATTAGGGATAGGACTAAGCCATAATCGGTAAGCCGACCTGCCCTTGCTGCAATGCATGTTGTACTTTATACTAATTGGAGTGAAGGCTGGGATTGAACGAGTCTGGATGGGCTCGGCAAGAGAACGAGGTGGTGATGCCGGGCGCGACCGAGATGGCTGGAGTGGATATGCGCCTAGAAGCAGGTGCTTATCGGGAGCTGCATTGGCATGTGGCATCGGAATGGTCGTTGGTGTTGAACGGATCGTGTCGGATCGAGGTATGCAGAGAGAGAATCGTGACGAACAAGTTTGTTTGCCAAAGCTAATTCTCATCATTCAGGCCGTCAACGAGAACGGACAAACTTTCGTCGATGACGTGAGCGCTGGTGATGTCTGGTTCTTCCCTCCGTAAGTTTTTCGCCCCAATTCCAAATCATTGTCCCCTTTCATAGGGATGCATTGATGGGGATGGTCGGTTGACTCACTCCTTACAGCGGTGTTCCGCATTCCATCCAAGCCCTCGACTCGGGCGTCGAGTTTCTCCTCATCTTCGATGACGGTTCCTTCTCTGAGGATAATACTTTCCTCGCCACTGAAGTGTTTGCCCATCAACCGGTACCCCCCACTTGATTTACCCAGATTTATGTATGAGCTTGACCTAACGATGACTATAGCGCGAGGTCCTCGCCAAAAACTTCGACCTCCCCGTTGCCGCTTTCGACGACATTCCCGAAGATGAACTTTATATCTTTCCCGGAACTCCGGCACCGCAAAACATCGAGGAGCAAAATGTAACTGGCTCTGCAGGCGTCTTGCCCAAGTCCCAAAGCTACTCGTACCACTTCTCCGAGCAGCCCGCGCACGAAGTGCAAGGGGGATCCGTCAAGATCGTCGACTCCCTCACCTTCCCCATCTCCACCAACACGGCTGCCGCGCTGGTGACAGTGCACCCAGGTGGCATGCGTGAAATCCATTGGCACCCAAGCAGCGATGAATGGACGTTCTTCATCAGTGGCAAGGCACGCGCGACCCTGTTCACGGCGCCCAGCACCGCCACGACGTTCGATTACCGCCCGGGGGATGTAGGATACTTCCCGCAGAGCAACAGCCATTATATTGAGAACACAGGAGATGAGGATCTGGTTTTCTTGGAGGTGTTGCAGACGGATCAATTCAGCGGTAAGTCATCATTACCTATCCCCCATCCGGTAGAGTTGTGAATGTTAGTACTAATAATGCCTACAGACATCTCATTGGGCCAGTGGATCGGCTCCACGCCGAAGCAGATTGTCTCGGATACGCTGAACCTGCCACAGAGTGCGCTGGATCGGTTGAAGACGGAGAAGATGTATGTGGTGGCTGGATCAAATGAGACGGATATTGCTGCCACTGCGTAGTGGCTGCTCTTCAGGGATGTTTGATGATCTTTATGATACTGATGACTGGACATATTGTAATGGGACATATTTGTGGGTTTTTGTTATGAAGTTTGTTTAGTTTCGCGATAGATTTAGTTTGTTAACTGAGGTTCATTTTTGGGTATGATCAGATAACCTACCAGTGGAATGTTCACAATACTGTAACTGACTAGCTAGTCTACTTTATAGATACTTGGCACCAATCCGGGTAGTTGCTTTGACCCCTATTCTCCACACCCGTACAATCCTCATTTCTTTCCCCGCATTACCATCTTATAGGTACTAATTGATATATAGTATAGCTGTAGTACAGACACTCTGGATTAATGTCCACTAGAGGACCATAATATGAACAATAAATAATATCATAACCACCAAAAGATACTATACACCAACACTAACTTCCCTAATAACCCCCTCATGCCTCTGACTCCTCGCTTGGACCCTCACTCCATCCAAAACAGGATGACTGACCACCCCAGGCGTAAATCTCACCTCACCTCCCCTCCCACCCTCCAGCGAAATCCTCAAAGCACTTAATACCATCCCAACCGTCACAAAAACACTCGCATCCGCCAACACCCGTCCGGGACACACTCTCCTCCCGAACCCAAACACCCATCCCGACGGATCCGGCTGAGGGTTCTCACCCAGGAATCTCTCCGGATCGAATTTCTCCGGATGTGGGTAGATGTTTGGATCGTGGGTTATGGCCCTGCAGACACATCAGTATACTTAACATTCTTTTCACTTCATTTTATTTTTGAAAAGAAGGGACAGAGAGAGAAAAATTATACCATATATTACCCATCACCACCGCCCCTTTGGGAATGGAATACCCATTATACACATCCCCTTCCACACACAGATGCGGTAATCCCATCGGAGCAACCGGATACCAACGCAGAGATTCTTTCACGATGGAGTTGACGTAGGGTAGTTTATCTCTGTCGGAGAGTTTGGGGAGGGTGTAAGGGCCTAGGATGGTGTCGAGTTCGGCTTGCGCTTTGGCTTGTACCTGGGGGTTTAGGGCCATGCTGAGGATGAATGTCGTGAGGGTTGATACTGTCTATACCATTTTCAGTTATCTATGGCAGAAGAAGAGGATGGGAATGGGATGGGATAAGGGATCTTACTGTATCAGCCCCACCTAAGTACAGTGACCCTGCTGTCCACTTGGCTGTGAATTTTTCCTCTGCTGAGAGTGACTTTTCCTTCTTAGTATCCTCCTCCTGCAGGAGGTTGCGCAGGTAAGATGGAGGTGCTATTCCGGAAACCATCTGCTCCCGTACCATCCGGTACGGCGTCTCGATGGTGGTGAGGAGCTGGGTATGCCAGGACTGGGCCTTCTTATGGAAAGAGAAGGGGAGCCAGGAGGGGAGGTATTTCACTGTTCAATTCTGTTAGTATCACTATCAAGGGAATAAGGAATATACTACATACATCCAGGAATTAAATCTACCAACCACGTCTGATTCAACACCGCTGAAAACGTCTCCATCGAGTCGTCTGCCAAATCGACTAAATGGTCCCTCCCGTGCGGGTTGATGTCGTATCCGTACCCGATTTTGAGGATGATGGCGCCGGCTTCCCTACATATATCTCATTAGTTCCTCTTCTTCCAATGCAATGTAATGTAAAGGAACAGGAAGCTGGGTGGGGGGACATACGTCTTCAAATGCTGCACCCACTCCCCCGGATCATCTAACATACGACGTAACAGCCGTCTCGCTTCGAGCTCCTGTAGCGAATTGAACTTCGATACTAGGCTCTTGGTTCCTAGGATCTGGTGCAGGGCTTTACGGTATAAGCGGAAGCGTGTATTGTATGGCTGCATGGCGAGGGTGTCGTTCCATCCTATCCTGTTGATTTTGTGTTAGGGGTTTTTAGGGTATGGAAGGGTAGCTTGGGGGCAGGGGATGGGGGCTTACATTTCACCGAGGAAGACTGATCGTGGTCGGGAGGAGTACTTGAGGGAGCGCTTTTCGAGGAGCTCAGTGGCTATGTGCGCATCGTGAAGGATGATGATGGGTTGGCCGAGGATGGTCACGGAAGTTATTGGACCTGTGGGGGTTATTTAGGACTTGATAGTGGTGGTAGTGGCGGTGATGGGAGAGGTGGTTACCGTAACGCTCTTTGTGTTTCATCCAGTGTTGCCATTCTGGGGTATCCGGAGGTGGCAGATCGGATAGGTTTCCGAAGATAGGCTTGCCTTTGGGTCCAGGAGGAAGTGGGAGGGAGGGGGATTGTTGATAGATGAAGAGGTAGATGAATAGGAGGATAAGGCAGGCAAATGCGACCGCAATTACAATATTCATGGTGGGGTGGGATATTGATAAGATGAGGAAGTGTGGGATTAGGAAAATGACATCTGGTTTATATTCCGACACGGTGGGACTATGCAGCTAGTTGTTAGGCTGGTCGTGGCGTCGAGCCAGCCGAGGTTTCTGATGGTAAGGTGGAGTCATCGTGGATAGTGGACACAGCTAATGATAAGCATTGAGGATAATAGGTGTAGAGAGTTATTAGTGAACACAGGACGGGACACAGAATATTAGGTCTGCTGATTGGTGTTGTTTACTATCGTTGGAATCATTTTCCGCATTCCACGACCGAATCCCTAGTTTGATATTCGGCTCTGTTATTATGCTGTCCTACGCTGATGCTTGGTAATACCCTATCATTTGGTAGGGACCCATATTTATTGCGTAGCTCGTGTCACGAGAAGGATGCATGGTGGCGGTCGGTGATGCTGGCAGTGAAGGTATTTAGGTCAAGCGTCAGCTAGTCACTACATTAGAAGACCCTTGAATGTGGCACAGAGGGGGGTGTGTGGGAAATGAATGCCCTGATCACTTCCATATGATGTCTATATAAGTAAGCTCGCCCAAATGGATGCTTGCAATCTCTTCTTCATCATCTCTCTCCACAATACTCATCCTGTATCATCTTGCTCTACGGAATATGAGTGCTTAGCACTTAGGGCTAGCAACAATTGATATGTGAATCTGGATATGACTTGTGAGGGGAGACCGTGTTCGGCAAGATGAACAAGCCTGTCTAGGTCTATAAGCATAGCAGCGAAGGTATGGGTGGCTTGTGGTAATCACGACCCTGGCGAGCCGGCACCATCTCACAAATACTGTCATGCGGTGCATAGACTTGACAAGGTTTACTGGGAACCCCAGCTCTAGAGGACGCTCGCCACTGTTGGTGCCCGTATTATTCGACTTGCACGTGTATTCCGCGACGAATGTCACACACAGTACAAAGGTACGTCGCCCGTCGTCTACTTTGAGAGCTAAGATCGAAACCGCATGGGATCGAACCAGGTTGATACCCGCAGGCCAGGCTTTCTAAGAAGCTTCTGACACAGAATTATACGGAGCTTTTCTGAATTTGCAAAGAATTTGATTGTTACACCCGAATTGGTACGCTCACTGCCGCCAGGATCGGAAGATCTGCTAACACAATATGGCAATGATTATATTCGGACAAACAGGCTCATAGCTCAGGCTATACGCTTGACCTCACAACACGCCATACATCAGACGGACCAAAGCTCTTTTTGATTTAAACCCGCTATCACGAAATTCTGGGATTGGGTTGAGGACCTGACAAATATGCCAAGTGAATGTCAATCTGCGCCCCTGGGAATTTTGACGAAAAGGTCTTTGGGCCCCTGAGATAGATGAGAAGCATAAATATTGCACCAGGTGTTGGAGAGCATGGAGATACTGCGATTCTCTTGAAGTTTTAGCTACTATTAAACCACTGATATTATGTTTCGGCGTGTAATAGGTTAAACTATAGTTTGGCGCGTAATATACTTTGACGGTAAGCTGACAGCGGTAAAAAGCCAAGTGCTGAGAGCAAATATAAGAAAATTCCAAATGAGAGGATGCAGAAATCCCGATATTGGATATAAATCATGCTGTTTCCGAGGGTTGAACTTAGAAGAATGCGGGAAAGTTGAGTCCTGAGGGTCCAACCAGTAATGAACTGATTACGATCACAGCCTTTCAGCCCCTTCCAAAGGTATATCGCAAAGTAAATGTCCTTCAGACTCTCAATCATGACACGCAGTATCGTCAAAGCTTTGCAGTAGACTCGATCATCTTAGAGTCAGACGATGACTCTCTGTTAACATATCTGGCTGAGATAGAATGGTATTGCTTGGGTTTGTTTTGGTGGTAAGTCGGCCGCAATTTCCATTTTGACCGTAAATGGTGAACCAAGTATCTTGTTGCCAGTTGGAAAATCAGAGGACATCACTTTAAGATTCTTTGGAGGCAGCCTCGATAGATCGCAATTCAGGCTTCAGTTGAGTCCGGACCACGGGGGTGTCATTCACCATGGATGCAAGGGTGGTACAGGTGCCGATCTGGGATGGTTAGGGGTCTTTGCTGAGCGCGGCAGCCACTTTATGTTGGCTGTAGTGGTTCGTCAAAATGCCGCTAGTTAGTTACTAGGTACTACGGATAACCTAAGGAGTTATTGGCCTTGGATGATGAGTCGTTAGAACCAGCTTATTCGATCAGATACTCCCAGTAAACATTTCATATCAATACATTGGATGATCATTTGAGCTCATTTACTCAGTCATTGCCACTCCTTGTTTTATACTATTGATAATAGACTCTACCTACGGTCCTGGACGGAATCGGAGATAATGTTCGGCTGTCAACCCTAAGCGACCCGGGCGATTGCCGCCAAGCACGGACCAGACAGTGCTCGGGCCAACCAACGGATTCGTTTCCCTGCTCGCACAGTTGCTATTTTCCTTTATTGACGGCCAGGGGAATGCTGGACCGCGCCGCGCCACTGAAGGATGACTGGCGGTCTAGACGGTCGGTGGCTGGTTGGCATTGAGTCAAAGAAGTGGTGAGTTCTCGTATTCAACCCCGGATACATGCCAGCCACGTGGACCCGCAAAGCCCCGATCCAGAAAAACTGGGGCCTCCACCGCATCCCCCCTCTCCATCTGTCTTCTTTGTCTTCCTTCCTTTTTCACCCCTTCATTCCTAATCTTCCGC